ATGAGCACCAATGGCATATTTGTTGCGATTTGAAAGTTGTTGCACTTTTACTTGGGCTGCAGCTAGGCTACACAAAGTTTTGCCGTTTTTTGTGTGAATGGGACAGTCGGGCAAAGGCACTTCATTACACCAGACAAAACTGGCCTCTTCGTCAATTCCTAGAGCCAGGTCAAAAAAATGTACAGCATATGCCTTTAGTAGATTCGAAAAAAATTTTATTACCACCATTGCATATCAAGTTGGGCCTAATGAAAAACTTTGTCAAGGCATTAGATAGAGATGGGTCAGCTTTTCAATACCTGCGTCAGAAATTTCCAAGACTAAGTGAGGCAAAGGTTAAAGAAGGTATTTTTGTTGGGCCACAGATTCGAAATATTTTGAAAGATACACAGTTTGAAAACACTTTAACAGGTATTGAAAAAACTGCGTGGAATGATTTCCGTCGGGTGGTCACTAATTTCTTGGGAAATAGAAAAGCTGACAACTATAAAACCCTTGTCAAAAATATGCTGTCATCGTGTCAAAAGATATACAGGTATGTCTCTTAAGATACATTTCCTACACTCACACCTGGACTTTTTTCCTGACAATTGCGGAGCCGTAAGTGATGAGCACGGCGAACGTTTTCATCAGGATATTTCAACAATGGAAAAAAGGTACCAGGGAAAGTGCAATCCTTCCATGCTTGCAGACTACTATTGGACTCTTGGTAGAGATGCTCCAGAAACGATCCATAAAAGAACAGCAAAAAGACAGCGCATATAGTGATTCTTATAAGTATATGAATCTTTTTTTAATATATCCTTAAAAATAAAAAGTTTTTTTTCTAAACCGCAACCAATTTTTTTATTTCATTGTCATTTTTGGATTCAGCGCCCCAAAAATAACAAAGAAGTGCACTTTTCCCACAAGATACAATTAAAAAACTAAAATTTGTTGTCCAGTGCTATTTGCAATCCAAGAGCCAATAAGCCTTTTGGCAAGGTGATCATGGAATGCCTAACTTTTTTTCTCAATTTTACTTGCGATACAAAAACTGTATAAGCTTTTCTCTGCTATGAAAATGAGTTTAATAGCCTTAAATTTACTGGAACACGAGTTATTCACCTTTGATCTGGAGGTAGTAAGGACGCAACTGTGCCGCGCCTGTAGGCTGTACAGCCATGCATTTTTTCATTCGCATGATTTAAATACCCATTCGTAAGCAGTCAATGAATAGCCAATAAAATGCGTTATGTAAACGGTAGAATGACGTATTCATGTATGGCGGCTATTCTAGCGAGTATTATCATATCGAAATGTTGATCTAATAATGCTACTAATACTACTGTGGCGCTTATTGCAGCCTCAATAGCTAATAACAGAGCAAGCGTAAATAGTGCATGCATGATTAGTTTAGGGAATGGCAGTTTTGCAAAAAGCAATACATGCAGATCGGCGATTATAGAGATAGTTTCTATTCATAAGTTGCGAAATATAATAATGGTGTCAATTAGGTTGACTCTGCAACGCAGTCATCAGGATTCGGCACATCATTAGAAGACCTGCGACAAAGAATTGTGAATGAGTGCCTTCAAATTACTCCTAAAATATTGCAAAATGTGCGGCAACGTTCTGAGAAAAATCTTTATTATTGCATGAAGAGTCATGGTGGCCATTTTCAAAATATACTTGCCTAACGTGTCAGTTTGTTCTTCATTTTTAAATTACTTGCTGCCAAATGTATTGGATCTCCACTAATGATATAATATAAATATTTTGGACGATGATCCCATCACAAATGAATACTTGAATATCCTATCAAGTAACGGATTTCTGTTCTATATAAACCTACCTACAAAGCCCATCAGTGGCACATGTGTAGATCACTGCTTTGTGAAAGACCTATCCAACAAAATTACTTGTATACCAATAATCCTAGAAAGCGATATTACTGACCACTTCTCCACTATTTTACTGATATCTTCAAATGAAAAACATTCTAACATCCCTACCGTTAATATCAACCAGGAAAATTAGAAATTTTTTGTCGACAATTCAAAACTAATATCAAATGTCAAACAAGAATCCTGGGAACAATTATACTCTATAAATAATATAGACAAAGCAACGGGACTGTTCATAGAGAAAATAAAAAAACTAATAGATATTAGTACCAATAAAGTAATAATTAGTCACAAAGAGAAAAGCAGAAATGCCTGGATTACCAAAGGATTAATAACATCAGCAATAGAAAAAGAAAGACTATATAATGTAATAAAACTAACGCCAACTACAGAGAATACCGACTGCTACAACCAATATAAAAATAAATTTATAGAGCTTGCAAGGCAAACCAAACGAAAACATTACCTAAATAAATTGAATAATAACTTAAATGATCCTAAGCGGCTTTGGACAACTATTGATGAGATTACTGGGAAAACAAAATTTAAAGAGTGTGTCACTGAGTTAAATACAACATCGGGAACAGTATTAAAAAACACTCAACAGATATGCGATGAATTTGTACAATTCTTTACTGACATAGGCGAAAATTTAGCAAGTAATATACAAGCAAATGTACAAAATACTCAGCCTCCAAAAAGAACTTTGAACTCATTTATTTTGGATAAAGTCGAGCAATGTGAAGTATACACCACTGTTACGTCCTTAAAAAATCGGAAAGGTCCTGGGTTCGATGGTATTAAAAGCGAGCATTTGAAAATTATAACAGAACCACTCACTTACCTAATCAACAAATGCTTTGAATCTGGCATATATCCCTCAATTTTAAAAAAAGGTAATATAATACCGATACATAAATCAGGAACAAAAACAGATGTTAACAACTATAGACCAATATCAATAATATCCAGTGTAGCAAAGGTTTTCGAAAAAGTTTTATCTACTAGAATGATTCGATACCTCACAAGATACAAAATTTTAAGTGAAAATCAATATGGATTTACAGAAGGGAAGGCTACATCGGACGCAATAACTAAAATTGTAAATCAAATACATCAAAATATTGATAACAGAATCCCTTCAGTCTGCATTTTTGTTGATTTAAAGAAAGCTTTCGACACAGTTAATCACAAATTATTATTAGAAGCATTGGAGAGAATTGGTTTCAGGGGAAACGCGTACTCACTGATCGAAAATTATTTGTCAAATCGCCCATAATCTGTGCAGATATCAGGATCATTTAGTAAAGAAATGTATATTAAGTGTGGTGTCCCACAAGGAACTGTCTTAGGTCGGCTGTTATTCAATATATATTTAAATGATATTTTCCAAATTAATTGTGTTGGCAAAATAACTAGTTTTGCAGATGATACTGCAATATTATATGAAGGCACTGACTGGTCCGATCTGAAAAATGTAATTGAAAATGATTTTATCAAAATTATTCGGTGTAGAAAATTAAGCATTAACTACTCTAAAACACATTTTTTACCATTTGGATCTTATGCTAGACATCTGCCAAATTACACAAATTTCTCCTTCAACATTAATGATCAAAAAATGCAAATTAATAGAGTGCCCAACATAAAATACCTTGGAGTGGTCTTGGATCCTCACTTACGATGGAACATCCATGTCAATTATATTTTAAAGAAAGTTAGATTTGTATCCTACAAAATTAAATGCCTTGGGAATATATTGACAGAAAAATATCTTCGAACATTATACCATGCACTGATTGAGCCTATGGTATATTAACATGGGGAGCTGCATGCTCCTCACATATCTATAATTTAGATGTTTTTCAAAAAAGTATTGTAAAAATGATATTTAAAAAACCGAAACTTTATCCCACTGAAAAATTATACGCAGATGTTCGAATGTATGATATAAGACACCTTTATTTCTTACACAGTATCACTCACTACCATAAATTTGTAAACACCGACCAAAAAATTAAACATAATCATTATACCAGGTACAAAATTCGTGGCACAGTAGTTCCTCAACCGCATAAATCTATAATGCAGCGATCATATCTCTATTTAGCGCCTAAATTTTATGAAATTATACCTAAAGACTTAAAAGATTTACGTTTCGGAAATTGTTTCAAAAGAAATTTAAAAAAGTGGCTACATTCTATATCTAGGTCTGAAATTCATAAACTCATAAATACGAACATCAACTAAATATCTACTGTAGCTAATTTTTGTCCTTTTTTGTCATTTGCATTCTACAGTTTCAACTTAAATTATTGGTCCATGTACAGGCGATGCCTTCTATTGGGCCTGTTTTCATTTTATATTTATTTACTCATATTGTTTGTTATCTTTGTACATTGAGTGAATAAATATTATTATTATTATTATTATTAATGATGATGTATTAGTTTTATGTAAGCTTTAAATCAATAAATCTTCAAAACTAATGAACTAAAGTAAATCAACTTTATATCATTATAAAGGGAATTGGAAGGCCTTTAAAATAAGGTATCACTCGACCCCACTTTCCATTTAAGATTTTGGGGGTGGTGTCACCCCCGCTTAAGGGGCTGCACGTGCTAACGTGATTTTTTTCCAAACTTGTGTCCCCCTCGAAAACAAAATCGACGGGTCTGAGCGTTTTTCAAAAAAAAAACTGAGCTGCCAGTAGATGCATCTGTTTCGTTTTCGATGCGTCACCCTGTATATTATAAATGGATCAAGTCAGTCTAACAGTTCCATAGTTCTCACCCATTTGATAATGTTTCTATCTAGAAATTTCTCCCCTGCCATACAGATAGTACCATCTGGTAACGTACCTATAATCATCCTCACCACGTGCCAGTCTCCGATTGGTCAGCGTTCTGTCAGGTACCGACGCAGGTATATCTTCGTTTATTGCGCTGCGTGTGTTGAAAATATGTCTCTATGATTCTGAAGTATTGAGGGCAAAGATACAGGACATCTATAATGTATGAAATATTTTTAATAGGTGCGTATACCTGCCGGGATGAGGAACGTACAAATATACTAAAGCTAAAATCTAAAATCCCCAACCTTAACCCATTCGCAGCATTGTTCCAAAATTGGAACACGCGATATTTTGGGATGTAGTTGAATAGATGGAGGCACAAGTATTAATCAGAACCATTGTTAGCAATTCACAGCATCGGGAGCACCTGTTTTCAGTAAACTTTTTAGGTTATATTACGGCAGTAAACATACCAGTGCAGCTAGGTTATTTTATTTTTAACACAATTTTTTGTGTTATTACTGGCGCGTAAACAATACAAACTGCTGAAAAATTGAAGTTCTCTATAAACAGAAGCAAGGTCTGGCTATTCTTTTATTGGTAAGTTTGAGTAAAATAAGTATCTTTTCTCATTTGTACCTTCTATCGTCACATTTTGTTATGTTCCAATAATGGAACATGGCTACTTCTATTGCACTTTTGTATTTATTTTAGGTTATGGATTGCAAAACCTTTTACGGAAAAAAATCCACCTGTTCAACCAGTTTGAACCGACTCATTGACAAACTGCATGAAGAGCACTTTGAATCAGCTAACATATATATACTATAAGTCCACCAATGGAGGATTCTGAGGGCGACTCTGAAGCCTCAGGAAATGAAAATGAAGGGGATTTTTGTGAGAAATTTTCTCAAAAAATATTAGGTGCACCAGCTGAAGCTACTCTTGTATCACATGGCAGTAAGCAGCATCAAGAATCCAGCAGTGATGACGATGAGCCTTTAGTAAAATACGTACCCAAAAGCAAAAAATTCAAGTCAAAGTCAAAACTGGAAAACTGGTATCAGCAAGACTTACCAAACTCTGTGAATCTGAATAATGTAATAGAATCTGACACATATAATAACCTGGTTTCAAAAGAAAATCCTATTCAATTTTTCGAATTATTTTGGACTGATGCTTTTTTTGAAAACATAAAAGAACAAACTATATTGTATGCTACCCAGAAAAATGCAAACACATCTTTTACTGTGACCGTGGAAGAACTAAAGGTTTTTTTCTCAATTTTGCTAATTTCTGGTTACTCTAAAAGGCCCAGGAAAGATATGTATTGGAGTATGGACTCTGATCTTCTCAATGAAGCGGTTGCTAAGGGGATGTCAAGAAATAAATTCCGAGATATTTTGAGAAATTTGCACTTTGTAAATAACACTCAGCTGCCAGCCAATGACAAATTTGGGAAAGTAAGGCCACTGATCAACCACCTAAACACTGTTTTTCTACAGCATACCCCTCTTACTCAAACCACATCAATATCTGTTGACGAATCAATGGTACCATACTATAGTCACCACAGTTGCAAGCAAAGAATTCAAGGAAAGCCTATTAGATATGGGTTCAAATTTTGGTCTGCAAATGTATCAAACGCTTATCTTGTGAACACTGAACCATATCAAGGCAAGGAACAATATTAGGAGATAGTGACCTTGGCCTAGGAGCATCTGTTGTTTACACCTTTGCAGAAAAATTGAAACAGCGATTTCCAGATCAAAAATTTAACTTCGTTATAGATAACTTTTTCACGGGTCTTCCACTGATAAAAAAATTAAGTGAAATGGATTTTGGATGCACAGGTACGATCCGGCAAAACAGACTAGAAAAATGTCCTCTAAATAAATCTGCAATGAAGAAATCGCATAGGGGTTCTATGGACTCATACGTTAATTCAACTAAAGAAGTTATTGTTATGCAATGGAAAGATAACTCCATAGTCCATGTTGCTTCAAACTGCTTTGGCTTGCAGCCCACAAAAGCAGCACGCCGTTATTCTGCTGCTGACAAAAAATATATTATGGTAGAGATGCCTCATGCTATTCAGCAGTACAATACTAATATGGGTGGTACAGATTTAATGGATAGAAATATTTCTAATTATCGCCCGCAACTGCGTAATAATAAATGGTGGTGGCAAGTTTTTATACATCTTTTATGCGCTTCGGTCTCTAATGCTTGGATCTTATACAGAATCTCAAAAGATGAGAAAAAAGAAATCTAGTGCTGATGAAATTCATGGACAGTTCTCGTTCTCTTGATTTACTTGACTTTATCAGATACATTGTATCAACATATTTACTTCCGAGTCCCAGAGCACAAAGACAAGACGGAGCTATATTTCTAAAGGTTCCTGAGGCAGTCTCCAAGAATATGTCTGTTTTGCACTACCCAAACTCCATGAAACAAAATAGATGGAAAGTTTGCAAAAAAAATACTACATTTGGTTGTGGTATATGTATGATTAATGTACATCCACTCGATTGTTTTAAAATATTTCATCAAAGTGCATCTTCGTAGTGTATAAAATAAAAATAAATGTTATATGGATACTTTAGTTTATTTTTTAATAATTAGCCAACAAGACCCTTATGACGCCAAGTTCCAAATTTGGAACATTTTTTTTTTCGCCTGTGGCGATTGTAAATGTTCAAAAAGATTTTTTTTACTATTTTTCCACATACAAGCTGCCTAGGCTAAAGCTAAAATTTCTTAACAAAAAAAATAATAAAGTTTGGCCGCGAATGGGTTAAATTTCTAACCATTATAAAAAGTTTTCTGTAAGTGAACAGGGGCATCGGAAGAGTTGAAAGATGAAATTTGAGCGATTTTTATCAGTCCCCTGTTTGTCCCCAGCCTGCAATACCTCCTCGCCAACTGGCTTAGGATGGACGATTTTCGGGATTTTCGATCAAACGCATTTTTCGAAATGGCGGCAAATGTTTCATCTCTAGCTCGACGCCAAATTAAACATATCATCATAAGACGAAAATACCCCTGGTTAGCAAAATAATTGTCAAGTCTGGAGCTGAACTGTTTATACAGTTAGCACGCAAATTGAAGACACAATTATGTTTCAAGCTGTCTCAGACTATTTAGTATCTAGCATGTGCTTAATGGCTGCATTATTGATGACTGCACGATTTTGTCAAATAAGCAGGTCACGTAATCCAGTTTCTTTACGAAGAAATGTAATTCTCGGGACCTTTTTCTAAAAGTACTAATATAGTATACATCTGTTTCGAAATCTCGTACGATTAAAACGACTGCGAGAACGATTGCAGAACCGCAGGACGGAGGTTCGAATCCACAAAGCTCATTTTTTTCTATTATTTTTTTTTAAATTTGGATAAACAAATTTAATGCTTTTTCACATTAAGTGTACTTTTATTATATATTATCTGTGAGAGAGACTTATCCGTAAAGTGTGTCTTTTCACCTTTCGCTATTGAAAGCTTGTTTAGTGTGCACTTCGAGCTAATTACCTCAAGCTAGTAGTTAAACACAATGTGCAGATAACAGTACGAACAAATATAAGTGTCCATGTTTTAAATAGGCCCTTGAACAACTTGCATCAATAAAACCAGACCTTACAATTATTTCGGGGAAATTTATTATTTTTTAATATGATTATACGATTAGGAAGCAATATACTAACGATATCACAAAAAAAATACTTTTCCAAAATGAGACATCACTTTGTATATGTTCACTCATTTTCAGATCTTTGTCAAGTCACACTGAATTATCAGCCTTAACAGCTAAGACTCCAGTCTTCTCAGGAGCCAATTTCAATTTCTTATCTCTCTCCTTGCCTATAACTATCTAAAACTGTAATGACTCATCGATGTTCACGTGAACATCACTTAACTACCAGTAGTCGGCTGTTCATAGGCGGGGTATGGATGTTTAATATGGGTGAACTAGATTTTTCACATGCTTAATAAAGAGTGGTTACATATTGTAAGTAAAAAATTTGGGAATTACCTTTATTCATCGTCGCTTCCACTTACATCTGACAGTAATAAACTGTCGCTATCGCTTTCCTCGTTGAAATTGACTATAACTGGCTCTATGATGGTGTCGATGTGGTGGTCAAGCTGCCACATTTTTGTTTCTTCCTTCACAACATGACAGATAGCATTCTGCCAAGCTTCGGGCGTTACTAGCTGTATGGAAGTCTAAAGTAAAACCTTAACGTCTGGTATTTGATGGTTGTGTTATGGCGCGCAATATAACCCTTCACTTGATCCCAGATGAGCTCTATTGGGTTCAGCTCACAGTGGTAGGGCGGTAACCGCAGCACAGTGACACCACATTGACGGGCCATCTCATCAGTCACGTAACTAATGTTCGCAGGTTTGTGCTGTTTAATTTTTTCATACAATTCCGCTTCCACACATGAATCGTCAAACGGGATTCCTTTTTCGCGCAACCATTGCTGCATGTCACTTTTTCGAGATCCCATAGTCGGTACACGTTCGGCTCGACGACTATGGTAGGAAGCATTATCCATGACGATCACAGAGTTGGGCTCAACTCGCTGAAGCACCCCTTGAAACCAGCTCTCGAAGCAGCTGGCATTCATTTCGTCATGGTAATCACCTCCTTTCTTAGAAACGAAAATCAAGTCACACTCTTCTAAAAAGCCACTATCGCTACCAATATGAGTTACGATCAATCTTTGACCTTTCTCTGACGGTCCACGAAGACCTGTTGACAAACCTTCAATGCTTGCTTGTCGGTTACTCACTACGTTTTTGTCTATCCAAGTTTTTTTAACTGTGTGACCTGCATTTACCCATGTCTCGTCCAAATAATAGATTTTTCTGCTTTGTCGCCTATATTCAATCATTTCGCGTAGGTATTTTCGACGCCAGGCGACTACTTCAGGTCTCTATATCAATACTGACTTCCGATTACGCGTTTCGTAACGAAAATTAATTTCGTGCAGGGATTTCCTTATTACCTCGACGCTCATTTGGGGTATAATTTCATTTTCCTTGATTGCTGCATGTACAGCCTTGAGGGTTGGTATCTCATTCCTAAAGAAGAATGAATGTACGGTTCGCCTTAACGCCATTTTGCTATCGTCATTAAATTTAACGGCCTTTCGTCCCTTCAAATTAAACTTTGGATCAGTAGTAGCTCCAGTTTTCTTCTTTTCATGCACCACCCTGCGAATGGTCCACTCTGGAACGCCTGTCATACTTTCACAACGCGCGAGTGCATCTCCCTGCGACATAGTTCTGTTCAGATAATTGAATACGTTGAGCACGATTTCTTTCGCGTCCCTCTTCAGTGTTTTACGAAGCCGTCTACTTGTTCCCTGGCTTTCAGTACTTCCACTCGTGCCATTTGTACTCTCCATGGTTAAGTATAACCAAAACAGTAACCACAGAAACCACAACAATAACAATCACACAACAATTCTTATAAAAACACACAATATGCGATCGCTCAACGAAACACGTTGCCGACGCCTATGAGTCTGCCGGTCGAGGCGCGTCTTTGATTTCATTGGTTCTACCGGCGGAGAACAATCAGCCATTATTTCCATCTCTGTCTGTGCTGTTGACCACCGCAAAGCCACAGAAACGACATATGTCGTACGCTATACGGCTGTACTGGAAGAAAGCCGGGATCGAGCTCTGATCACGTGTTGATCACGCGTATGAGTCATTACAGTTTTAAATAGTTGTAGTATAGTCACTATCATTGCAAGGTCGTCAGCATACCCTATCCAGCGAATTCCCTGCAGCATCTGTAACCGAATCCTTCCATTTCAGTTATGCATGTGTTTAATAACATCCTGTAATGTATAAATAATATCTGCCCAACCAACATCACCACCGCAGTATTTCCGACATTCAACATTCTACCGGGTCATGAAATGTTATATACGTGACGACGCTTCTACCGAGGAGAATGTTATGAGTTTATAATTCCTCGTTAAGAACAACATTATTACCGGCCCTATATGGCTATATTTACGCTGAACCATATGCCAACTCCTCTGAGGATTTTTATGCCCCCAAGCCAGTTCCTAGTGCTTGTTCACGCCGCGTGTGAGCCGTTCGCGACGCTATCCATGCTTTGTTGATTTAGAAAGATATAGAAAGTAACGAAGCGATGCTCGGGGTAATTCTGCAAAGGAATCGCCGAGGATAGCACTGTGATCATTGAGATGTACCGCGGTGCATTGGTGTAGGCTTAGGTGCTTAAGTACCACCATCCTTGGAAAATTAGATCGTGGGAAGGGTTGAGTCCGCTCTGACGAATATAAGGAAAGCAATAAGACGTTTTTGGGATGGGCAGTACTCTCCGCCTCCGTCTACGAGAGAGGTAGGGGGGTGCCGTTTGACTCGTGAGATCCTAGCATTATTTTACCAGTTGTCGTTACGGAGCCTTGAACTGTGGAGCACCGCCTTTTCGCCTATGATTGTTTCGTCGAAAATAATGAGTCAGTCATCGTCGTACAGCGTGAGTTTCGTCGCCACTTCAATATTCATTGGAATAGAGCTATTCCCTCTCGAAACACCATCCTTCGTTGGGTTGAATCACTTCGCAAGCGTGGTGAACTGATCAACAGAAGACCAAGAGGAGCGCCGCGAACAGTTCGAACTCCTGAAAATGTTGAACGCATTCGACAGGTCTTTCTTCGCAGTCCGACTCGATCTGCCCGGAAACATGCTGCTGCACTTCGCCTTAGTGATCGTTCGATAATGCGAATTTTGCATATGGATCTCCGCTTTCACCCCTACAAATTGGCGATTGTGCAACAGTTACAGCCCGGAGATTATGCACAACGAATGAACTTCGCACGTCAGATGGAAGCACTGATCGATCAAAATGAGAACCTCATTTTATTTATGAGTGATGAAACCCACCCCAGTTACACGAAAGGCCGCTGCGCATTGGCCCTTACTTCTTCGAAGACGGTAATGGTTGTGATGTTACCGTGAACTCAGAGCGCTACGTCGACATGATCATCAACTTCTTTCTCCCTGAATTACGACGGCGACGTGTTCCAATCCGACGTGTGTGGTTTCAGCAAGATGGGGCGACCGCCCACACAGCCCGAGCATCCATGGACGTTATTCGCCATCTCTTCCCTGCTCGCCTTATTTCCAGGTTTGGCGATGTTCATTGGCCTCCTCGGTCCCCAGATTTATCCATATGCGATTTTTTTTATGGGGACACCTCAAGGCTAGAGTATATGCGAACAAGCCCCGAATTCTGGCCGAATTGAAGGGCGAAATTCGCGTGGAAGTCGCCCAAGTTGAGAGAGCGACGTTGGAGAGAGTCTACGCGAGCTTCCAAGAACGCACTGCATCAACGATTTCGGCCACCACATGCCTGATGTGATTCTCCACACTTGACTGTCTCAAATGCTATTTCCTTGTGAACCTGATTCCATCAATAGATTTGTTTTCGAGTAAAAATTAACTATTTTATGATTTTTTTAAAACCGTCCATCCTCTCTGCCCCACCCTGTAGATTACAGATTAGAGAAA